AATGAAACATATACATGTAGAGTAAATTGTTTTTGGGAAACGAAAATTACTTATCAATTAGTTCCACTTGAATATAATAAAGAAATGAAAGTACCAAATCGTCGATGTTGTCCAAAATGTTTTGAATGTGGTTCGTATGATCTAAAATGCAAATATCATAGATGTAAATGTGGTCATAAATTCTGTTTTATTTGTCTCAAAACGGAAGAAGAATGTAAGCGTGATTTCAAATCAGCATATAATCGACCATGTGGCCCGGTAGCACAACAAACATTTAACATATTTCCACGTCTCTGTCATTACGAATAATATTCCTTTGTGTTCGTTGTAAACGAATAACATCTTGTGATTTTTTTTAGATATTGTTAAATTTATTGAATAAACGAGATTTATTTCAATATGTTTGCCTCTTTTGTAATAGATAATATTTTTCAGATGATTTGTTTTTGTGGAATGAAATCGAAAAAGCAACAAAGGAAACAAAAGAATTCAACGTTTGTCAATGAACATCAATTCAAAGCTTCAGAACGCAAAAAATTTTCAACAAAACAGTCTATTATAAAAACAAGTCAGATAGATAAAACGATGCTTGATCAGACAACGAGCTCATCGTACAAAAACGATGAAACAACTAAATGGTCGACAAAATGTCCATGGTTCAACAAAAGCAAGGAATCTCCCAGTAAGTAGATACCCATTAGTAGCTCAACAAAATCTACCTGAATATGTTTCATGTACAAGTATTAGGAGGATCCTAATGAAGAAAATAACCATGAACTGACTGTATCTTACAAAGTGTTTATGTCACGCTTCCTTAACACTAGCATAGTTGGAAGATTCAAAAAATGATAAAAGCATTACAGTATCACGGCAGAGATGTGTAGAGTAAGCTTTTTTTCGTAACATGTATCTTTACTTGGAAAAATTTCCTAATACTTATCACATACTACCGTATAACATACTTATCCTTACTCTACACTGCATATCTCTAAAATCGGAATGATAAACATTTTTATAAGAATCATCATTTTTTGTTAGAAATGATGTATAGAGAAAATTTTTTATAGGACGTATTGAAGAGAATTCTCAATCGATTGTACCCAGATCTACTTCTGAATCGACAAAAGCCGTTGAAAATGATCTGTATAGTCAACTCAATCTATCCCAATCCAAAGGATCGCATTTGAATTCATTTCCACATTGGCCATCAAAACCAATATTACCACCTATACGAAGTATTCCATCGTCTTCTTCGTCAGATGATCATGAAAGAGTATCGACAGACTATTCAAATCTTCTACCAACACATCACATTCCAGGCGTCTGCGGTCTAAATAACATTGGTAATACTTGCTATATGAATAGTGCTATTCAATGCTTGAACAGTATACCAGATCTAATCCAATGGATTATGCAACAGCATCCATCATCATCTCACATGAATATAATCGATGTTTATATTTCTTTAGTACAATCAATGTGGTCAGGTCAACATGTATGTATTATTCCTCGTCAATTAAAACAATATGTTAGTCGTTCATCAAGTATATTTTCTAATTATGATCAAAAAGATTCTCATGAATTCATGAATTCTCTTCTTAATGCTATACAAATAGTTGATTCAAATTCGTTCATTATTAATCTCTTTCGAATTCATACTCAATCAATAGCAACTTGTAACAGAGGCCAACATCCTAATATTACTGATGAAATAACAACATTTCTTTCACTTCCAATTCCTGAATTCAAATTCGATGATCAGAAGAAAGTTTTATTAGAAGATCTTATCAAAGATTTTTGTCAAGAAGACGAATTAAGTGGACAATATTATTGTCACAAATGTGAAATGTGTCAACCAGCACGACATAAAACAATAATCACTCAACCATTACCTCATGCTCTTATTATTCAATTGAAACGATTTCCTTATGACAATACAAAGAGAAAGATTAACACATTAGTTCAATACAAACTTGAACATGAAAATTTACTATCAAACAATGATAGATATAAATTATATGCTATATCGATGCATAACGGAAGTCTTGCTGGTGGACACTATACAACAATAGCACAAAATTATAGAATAAATCAATGGTATCGATTCGATGATAGTTATTTCGAAGAAATAGACTCGAAAAAAGTACTTGTCCCATCCATTGCACGGCAAGCATATATACTTATTTATTTAAAAAAGAATAATTGAGGAATTAGTGCTTGTTTAGTAGCTATTTGACTCTATTAGATATTCATTTTAGATGGAGATTTCAGATGAATTGAATACACAAGAATTGGTTTTGCAATGTCATGACAAACGACATAATAACGTTTGCATCAAAAATATAAGTGTACACCATGTAAAACTTCACATACTCATTCCACGTTCTTTGATCTTCTATCAATGGAATGATTTGGGTAAGTCTATTATATACAAGTTCTTCGTTTTTGTAACAAAATTTTATTTGATATAGATCTACGTGTTCTTCGTTTATTTATGGAACAGTTTCTTGAGAGACAAATAAAGAAATTTTTCAGTGATAAATCTACACCAACAATGGATGTAGATCCAGAACTACGAACTTGTACCTCTTCAATGCCTACTGTAATGTTGTCATCTGATTCCATTCTTCTTATATTTATCCGCTATCTTCAATTAATGAAATTTATTCCATGGTCATCACCCAAGTCTATTTGCGAAAAGTTGATTGAAATACCTAAACACAATGAAATAGATAGTTCATCCCAAATTACTTTCAAAAGCAATAGGTCTAAAAACAAACATGAAAAACTATCCACTAAACCTGGCTTATGTGGTTTAATCAACATTGGTAATACATGTTTTATGAATAGTGCTATTCAATGTTTAAGCAATATACCTCAACTAACTGAATGGGCTAAAAAACAACAATTATCAAATCATGAAGCAACCGTTACTCAAGCCTATACTTCATTGATTAAATCAATATGGTCAGGTGAAAACGCATCTTTCACTCCTTATGATATCAAAAATCGTGTTAGTCAACATGCTCCAATCTTTTCTGATTATGCTCAAAAAGATTCTCATGAATTTATGAATTCTCTTCTTAATGCACTTCATTCTGAGTTCATAGAAAATGACCTGTCAAAAGAACAATCATCTATTGTTACCAATCTTTTTGCTATTACTACTCAATCTAGAGTAACTTGTTTACACTGTGATATGTCTGATTCACTTGAAGAGATAACTTATTGTCTTCCATTATCTCTCGAGAATGAGTCAACAGTAACTCTTCAAACGTTATTAAATGATTTTTTGAAAGAAGAACAACTTGATGGTCAATATTATTGTTCAAATTGTCAAGATTTTCAATCAGCCAAACAGAAAACAAGCCTATGTCAACCATTACCACCTGTGATCATTGTTCAACTTAAACGATTTACTTATGATGAGACAAATAATAAACTAAATACATTAGTTGAATATCCAATTGATAATTGGAATGTCGATGGTAGTGATAATGCATTGTATGATCTTGTTGCCGTTTCCATGCATGTTGGTCATTTACAAGGAGGACATTATACAACATTTGCTTGTTTAAATGGTTCAGGTCCATGGTATCATTTTAATGATTCGAATATTGAACCCATTCATGATACTGATTGTCTTGTAAATCGAAATGCTTATGTTTTATTGTATTTAAAAAAAGAACTAAATTAATTTACATTTCTAAAAATTATAGATTTATTGAATTTTTTTATTTCAGATTTTTATTTAAACGATTATTTTATTATAGAAAATTGCATGTATGTCAAAATAAATTCTCTCATAAATGAAGTTCATCATTTTTTCTAGAATGACCTATCAAAAACAATATAATGATCAATATTCTGCTTCCGTATCATCATTTTCGAACAATAAAGACTTCTATCAACAAAAAGAATCATTATGCACAGTACCAAAACTGTCCACAACTCCAAAAAGTGTTTTCTTTCGAGTATGCAGAACATATCGAAATCGAGATAACGTCAAATATTTACATATGAAAGAAGACAATACATTACTACAACTGAAAGAGGAAATCTGTGGACAACTTAGCTTAAACATGAAATTTACAGAGTTTTCACTAACAAGTTTTAATAATAATGACAATATTTGGGTACCTATCTCTGATGCAGATAGTGATAAAACGATCATTGATCTAAATCTTCCTTCTCACACTATTTTAAACATCGAAAGGCTTGAACCAACTAATACAAATACACAAGATACATCAAAAATTAAAAACAAGGATCTGACTTTGAAACTTTGTAAACGACCAAGGATTAAAATAGATTGTGAATACCTTATGGTAGATTCATCGATGACTATTGGTCAACTGAAAGAAGAAGTAAGAAAACGAGTCTTAAGTCAAAGAACCAAATATTTGCACTTGTGGACAGAAAATGGCTGGATCAAATACGAAACTGATCTAGACGATTTGACTTTAGCTGTGATGGACTTTCATCAATATTCAATAATAAGTTTTGAAGGAGAAGATGATCTCATTCCTGGTCTATGTGGTCTAACAAATTTAGGTAATACATGTTTCATGAATAGTGCTCTTCAATGTTTAAGTAATATCCCTGAATTCACTCGAAGAATCTTGTTGTTTGGTAATGAAATCAATGCACCAATAATTGGTGCCTATTCAGCATTGATTAAAACTATGTGGTCAGGTGAACATGTTGTCGCTGTACCATCATCTTTATTGCTGAATATTTCTGAGAATTTACCACGTTTTCGACAATATCGACAGCAAGATGCACAAGAATTTATGAACTATTTTTTACATATAATTCATCAAGAGTTAACAAACGAAAAAACATTAATTACTGATTTGTTCTATGGACGAATTCAATCAAGTGTTAAATGTTTAGGCGGATGTAATTATATTGATATTAATGAAGAAGTAATTAGTTTTCTTCCACTACCTGTTGCAAATGATATTGATCAATATAATATTCTCTATCTTCGAAGCAATGGTGAACAAAAATTAGTTTCAGTTCATACTTATGCAAGAACAATCCGCACACTGATTGACTCCTTCATTAAACAACACGAACCAAAATTATCAATTACTCAAATACAAGCGTTTAGAATAGTTAACAATATAATTATGGGAAAATATTCATTGCACACATTACTGAGTGATACGATCAACAATCAATTAACTTTTATCGAACATCCCGAGAAGACTATTGAGCAAAAATATGTCGAATTGACATTTCTTAATCACAAAACATGCAAACCATTTCGACCACCTATCTTTCTCGTTCGTCCATCCTATGACTGTTATTATTCTGATCTATCCGAACAAATCAATCAGATTCAAAATCATCTGTGTTTAGTAACCAAAGCACCGACTTCTGCATTTCATCTCTATTGGATTAATGATAGTGGCAGCGTTTGTGATTTTGACATTGAGGCGCATAAACACAATACTTCGTTGTTGTTCATGAACCGAATTACTCTCGAAATGGATCCTGAATGGGTTGAAAAATATATAAATCAGTACAATAATGATCGGTCATTCATCAATCCATCATTAAATAGTCTATTGGAGAATTTTTTTCATGAAGAGCCCTTGAGAGGTGACTACTTTTGTTCGAAATGTCTTGCTCTAAAACCAGCTAGGCAAAAGGCTGATTTCGTTTTACCATTACCTCCTGTACTAATCATACAGTTAAAACGCTTCACGTATGATCCTTATTCAAACACAAAGGTTGATACATATATCGACTTTCCACTTCGAGATCTTGATCTTCGTCCATATATTATCCAGAATAATGATCAGAAAACGAATATACTCACATTATATGATCTTGTAGCTGTATCTAATCATTCAGGTAGTCTTGCTAGTGGACATTATACTACTTACGTAAGAAATGATCGAAATAAAAAATGTTATTCATTTAATGATGAAATAATTCGAGAAATTCTCGATGAGTATGATATTGGGACAAAAAATGCTTATATTCTTGTGTATGCTCAACGAACTACTGTGTAAAGTTTTTCCTTTTTTCTACAATCTATGTTTATGTGTATAAATATTTGAAAAAAGAATATTGAAATGCAGAGAAAGACACAACATCATCAACTTGAAAGGACCCATCCTCGTTAGATTGATAGAAATTGCTGAAATTGACGCTGTTTTTTAAGCATTATTACATTTTTCACTCTTGATTTTCTAGACCTTGATATCATTGCGCAAAACGTTAGGATAGTCAACTATTTATTATTTAGTTGTTGACAGAGAACTTTTTGAATTGTTGAATCAAATGAGTATCAATATAAATCTGAAGCGTGTTCAAATAAATGTTGGTTTGTCATCATAAGTATTACTTTTTTCTATTTGGTAGTATTTTCTACAGTGGTTGTGCAACTGTCACGAGCTTCGAGAGAATTCGTTTGATGGGTTTATAGAACGATGTCTCATAAAAACATTGAAAACTGAAAAATATCTTGCTGTTTCTACTAGTCCATAATATTTTGTTTTAACTTATTAGGAGGGTGCATAGCTACTCGGTCTATTGTAACACATACCAACATCGGCGCTAAACTTCAACAGTAGTAAGTGTAAACTCAATAACTCGATAGCAGAACAGTTAGCGACTTACAGTTTTCAGAAATTTAAAGAATTGAACTCTGGACGTCTTTTTGTGATATACTATACACCACGAAATTATTTTAACACTTATCAGCTTTCTAAACAATTCAAAAAAGTTGCATGAAAACAGTGTTCTATTTCAAGGAAACTTGAGTAAAAAAAAAACAAATAGAAAATTTGCTAAAAATCAACAGAGTTCCACATAGTTCTATCCAATATATACATGATTTTATTTCCTCAATATGAAGATATGAAAATATAATCACACGAATCGTACTTTAAAGAGTAGATCTCAGGTCCTTCTATTTGAAGTAGATATCCAAATCCAAATGATATCACAAACAAAACGCTGTTTTCATGCACTTTTTGAATATTTTGTGAAGATTATGGGTGATTAAAATAATTGTGTCTAAGGTAGTATCAGATAAAAAAGGCGTCTGAAGTTCTCCTTTTTTGATGACTGAAAACCACAAGTTGCTACCTGTGACCTTGCTGAATTATTGAGGGTACAGTGTCTCTCTTTAATTCTGGTATGGAGATTAGTTTTGTATTTTTTCTCCTTGATCTCCATGTTTTGTATGTGTCTCTCTCTCATGATTGATTATTTTCGCGCTCGTTTTTCGGATTTTTTTGTTTTTATCTCTTGGCGATAGAAAAACACAATTATTAAAAAAAGTAGTGTGATATGATTGTGAGTGTGCATCAATGGTAAAATTTTATTGGATGTTAGCATTATATTCATAGATTATATGTCTCTATATTAAATTGATATGCATTTATATTGATTATCTCACATTGAATTAGCCAAATATTAAGAGAGATACCCCCACACTTTCACGGTCTATTATTTTATCTCTTCGTGTTGAGAAAAAAAATATGTTTTTTCTTTCATTAGGATTAGTAAAAAAAAAACCAGTCACCTGTTTAGCTATTTATCATTGCAAGTTACTTCTGTCATTCTGTTTATTATCGATACTTTTTCGAGAGAAAGAAGATTTATTTTTGCATATGCATAGGAGACGAAGAAAAACAAAAATGACATCATAATATTGTCATAGTCGAATAACAAGAATATAGGATATCAATGACGAAATGTGAATTATAAGTGCCCGTTGGATGTTAGTATGCTTTGAAAATTGGTCGGTTGTTAGTGTTAGCAAAGATTGAATTAATTTTTTTTTGTAACACAAAAAAAAACGTAACTGTACGAATCTTTCTCTTATTTGGACTGCATTTATAATCACATCACGCCAAATGTGACTCAGTAACTCGATGGGAGACAGTGATTCTTAATTGATAACATCATTATTTACACCTACTAATAAATGTCCTTTATCCATACAGAAAAATTGTTTTGACTAACAACACAAAAGGAAGATGGGTAATCTATAAGCCATACGCTTGACTTTTAGTCAATACAAACACATTGAAAATCTTTTATGATAAACCATCATTAGTGATCTATGTACTAAGAATTCTTGGTCTCAAATTTAGGTTGCGGAATGATTTGTTTAATAATTTCTTCTAAAACAATTTTTTTTTTCGTTTGACTACCGATACTTGGATGTTTGCTACAAGGGTATGATAAAATATCTAATAGTATAATGTTAATAATAGATCATGCAATTGGATTTATAACAAATTTCAAAGTACATATGTGTTTATAAAAATGTGTGACAGGAACTTTTCGAATTGATATGTTTGACATCCATGACAACATATTTATATCGGAAAATAATTTATTTAATGTTTATCAAGTATTCTAATCATTAGATCCAGAAATGCTGTTTCTGATACTTGTGTTTAATGAAGGTTATTCAATGTTACGATCTTCTTCTGTACTGATATTAATAGCTTCATCATCTCTTTTTTGCCGACTTCTCCGTAATGTTTTGCATTCATAATATAATACTTAAGTTCCTTTCACAAAGAAACCATTGTTAATAACCTATTTCCGAATCTATGAACAAAGTATACTTCTTTTTCTCACCATCTCACTTAATAGTCATTATGCTCAACACCATCTTCTAGTGAACATTCAGTTTGTAAATCAAATTCCATTTCTTTTATAACTATGCGAGTAACAGCAATTATTGAAATCAGTTTTGGCAAACAATAACTATACTATGTATAAGTAAGTATTCAAACAAGAAAAATATAAAAAATATGTTGAATGAGTATAGAAAAAGAAAAAGATATGACAAATATCACGAATACGTAAAATGATTCATCACTTCTATTTATTAAAAGGTGTCATCCCTACATAACCATAGTTTTAATACATAATATAAATATATTTAATTGCATACAAAACATAGAAAAGAGCAAGAAACACCAAAACTGAGAAAAATCAGAATTTCAACTTGACTTTGAGATCAAAAGACTATATTTATATTTATGTTTATATAATTTATTTATTATTATTGAATATGTAGAAATAATTGATGTATATTCTTGACAAACGATTTTTCGTCATTCATTATAATTATTGACTATGTATTTTACTACACTTCGAATTCCATCTTTCACTTGTTTACTTCTTTCTCTCTCTCTCTCTTTTTAGTTGAAAAATGAAGAAACTATAAAGAATTTTTTTTTCGCATATTATATTAATAGCATGTTCATATTGATGAGTAATCTATATGGGAAATATATAGCAATAAAAATGAATAATTTCATGTAATATCATTTTATTAACTTATGCTCTAATGTCTGAATCAATTTTTATAATTAATCGATTAATTGTTAGTTTTATTACTGCAAATGTTTTTTCTTAATATTTGATTGGTAACATTAACATAAAATTCATAAAACCTACAAAATGTATATACACACATGTTTAATGACGTCTTATTACAATAATATTTTATTTTGTTTGAAGCTCTATGTGCCATTAAGAAATAAGTAAAAGGATTCTTTTAACATTGTTGATGAATCATTTCGCACAATACTAGCACCTGATTAATTTGCATTTGTTCTGTAGGAGAGGTTCTTTTTTGACTTCTGATAAAATTGTATTGACGTTTGTTGTTTTTTTTTTCCTGATTGAGTCTAATTGACTAGGTAGATCACAGTGACACTACAAGGTAATTACCACGTACAACTTTCATTGGGGAAGTAAATCGATTTTTAATCTGATCATATTGATGTATATGAATATATATCTACTATCGTAACATTAAAGAAGACCAATGTTGTACAAGTTAACAAGTAAGATCGAAATGTTTGAAGTCACATCACAAAGAAAATACGATCATGTCAATAGTCGAACGACATCTATTTTGAAATAGATTTATTAGACATATAAACCTCTGATAATTTATCTCCTATCTAATTTCGTCTATTCAATATATCATTGGTGATAAAATGAACATTTATATAAACATGATCATATATATATTTGCCTTGGAAGTTTCGTTTTACTAGTTGTATTATTTATTTTTCTTATGCTAATAGAGTATTATTTCTTCTTTATGCGTTACTTTTTCTTCTTCGTCTCGTCAGATGTTTTTTTTATTTCTGCACCATAACATCAAATTAGTAAGCATATAGTGATCGAACTTTGTTGTTTTTTTTTCGTTATACTACTTCCATATATAAAATAGCCAGTCGAATATCATTCGATTTATTTTCATTTCTTCTTTTTATGCTAAATTGACAAGTAAGAAAAATTATTTCTTTTTCGAAAGCAAAAAGAAAAACAAACTACGTATAATAAACTCTTGACTTCTTCATTTTTTCACAATCGGTGCTAATGATACATTTATAGAGTACTAATAATCGCATCATTTAGCTTAATTTTTAAGAGTAAATTAATTTTTCCATTTTTTTTTCATGCGTATAATTATAAAGTATAACTTAAAATGTTTATTGTAAAAAGTTTTATTTAATATACAAAACTAGAAGTTCGAGATGACAAATAGAGAGTTTTTATCCATGGAATAATTTTCAAAAGAAGACATAAATTGAATTTTCTATCTTTGGCTTTTTCATGAATACCGATGTCATCTACCAAGACTGACGAATAGTAGAAGAATCGAGTGCGTAAATAATATTTCTATATCTTAAAGTTAGGATTGAAGAATTTATATCAGAACATAGTATTCGTCTATGTATACTACCCAGGAAGAAGTGAAACGCTGAAAATACCGTTTAAACTGTCATTATCACCCGTTCTGTTAGGAAACGGTGATAAACGGCAAGAAAAAACGTGATCATCACTTTTCTTGCCGTTTTTACGTCTAATCAGCGTTTCCAAGCGTTATTCACATTAAATAAACTCTGAAACGGTTATATAAGTCATTTTCTTCTTCGTAAAAGATAGTGAGAAATGTTTATGATCATCTTTTCCAACAAAAACAGCTGTAAATGCTTTAAGTAGATTAATTTTCTTTTTTTTGGACTGGTTCCCATAATTATTTATATTCTCGTGAATTTGTATTTTTTATTGTTTCACAGTACGTGTGAAAGACATTTAGTCCGTTTGGAGCTTCCATTTATCTTTTGATCTGCTGAATTACTTCAAAAAAGTATTCGCTGTAGATTTAATTATGTGAAAAAGAGTTCCTTTGATTAAAGTAAGAATCCGCATAACATTGACATCATATGAATCAAAATCGTGCGTTGGTACGAACATGAGAATATCGAAAAAATACAGGTTGATTTTATTGATTTAAAGTCTCAATTTTCACATTGAAATCCTAATTTTTTGATTATGTTCAAAGCTCGAAACGTACGATAAATTATAAGTTCCTAATATTCTCAAACATGAAATTGCTGCATTAGAGTTTTCATCACAAATTATCAACTCATCAGTATATGAGCTATTTGAAAGTCGTTTTATGACAAGCAATACAACATTATTAATTATGAGCTACATAATCGAATTAGAAACTCTAATCAAGTTAAAAGAGAGTAATATTTTCAGTTAATATATATTCGACAAATGCCTGTAGCATAAACAGAACGGATCTCATATGCTTAGTAATTGATTGTTAGTCTTAATTAAATTGGAGAGATAGAAAAGCAAAGGGGAAAAAAAGAAAAATTTAAGTCAAGAAGTAAAAGAAAAAAGAATAAAGTTAGAGAAGGCCAAAACAGAAAATAAATTCGTCCAGCATATTCATTCATTCATTCGATGAAGATTGCTCAATAAGTAAACATCGCTTCTGCGAGCGATGTGAATGCATATAAAGATAAGATACATGAATTATATCTGAATTTAATCTAAAATACTATTCAGATTACGAAGAAATTCACATATTTTACTGTATACGAATTGTGAATAAGGATTCTCATTGACCGTTGGTCGAGCTTAGAAAACATGAGCAAAAAGATTCAGATAACTTTAATAGAAGAAGTCTTCAGAATTGAACGATGAGAGGATTTAGTTTCACCTTATGGTCTGCGTTTGTTTTTGCTTTTTCTTAGGATAGTATTTGTGAAAAACTTTCTTGTACATTCCATCGAGATAGTTGACAAAATAATGTCATCGTTTTTTATTCTATTGTTGCAAACATTTCAATGCACGGGAGGAGTAAAATTGATCCGTCTGCATTAGAATGTTTAAAATAATAGAATAGAAAAACGAAGATATTATTTTACTCTTATATATATTCATCTTCTGTCTATTTATTTGTATTTGATAATGTTCTTAGTTAGAACGAAAAGTCACACTGATTGATCTTATAAATCAGTTGAAAAAAAATGTTAAATAGCTTAGTTTCATTAATGATTTCATTTTAGAGCTTGTAATTTTATTAAGGTCGTCGTCGATTGAAACTCTTACGCGAAGAAACTTTAATTTTTTATCTCTTATACCATCAAAAGAATATAATGCTCAGTATATATTCCGTTTTCAGTATAAATCTTAAACGAACAACTAGATGATAAATATGCGTAAGTCATAAAGATTACAGTAATCAAATAAAAAACTTAGCTGCTCTATTAACTTTTGTAGCAATAAATTACTTTTAATCTACGACAGACGACTGTTAAACAATGAGAAAAAAATAGTTTCAACAATGAATAAATTTCAGAAGTATGTCAATAGTGTTGCTCTTCAATATTTTCTTTTGATAAAATATACCAAAAAATTGACATCGTTTTATCTATGGTATTTTTCCCCTAGAATTTTTCGTTTGTCGTATCAATTCATTGATTCTTCTTAAAGATCTAAGTTTCACTATCACATACATATCTGATACTAATAAATAAACTAATTTAGATTCTTCTTTCATTATTCATCGAGATTATCATAAATCACAACTTTGTAAGTAATTATATATTTCTCCATAGGTATTAGCATAGACTAGACTTGAGAATTCGTAACGAAAACTTGAGAAGATTTCGATAGAATATTTATCAGATGTAAGACAAGCTCGTCATCCTTGAGCGATCAACAAAATTCTAATTATCTATGGAGAGTATAGAAAAAAAAAAATTTAAAAAACGATTGCTGTGTCAGAAGAAAGAGTGCAGTTAGGTTTTTGTAATATCTCAACATATTCTAATGAAAAGATCTCATTTTATTCTCAAGAAGACAGAAAAGTTAAATTTCTAAAAAGTCAAAATATTTATTTAAAGAAGTGAAAGTTCATGCATCTTTAAAACATAAGGCATGAGTAGAAGTCTTTTGAACAAATATCAATACAAAAAGAAAAGTTTGTAGAAGAGACTTCTATTCATATCTTATGTTTTATAGATGCATGAACTTTCATTTCTTTAAATAAATATTTTGAGTTGTTAGAAATTTTATTTTTTTTTTTCGAAAACAAAATGAGACCTACTCATTGAAATGCATTGAGATATTGACAAAAAACAAACGTGTATTGTCCATCATCAAATTAATAAAATTAGATAAATGGTTAGGTTACATGTAAGACGAAGATGATTCTGGAATATTAAACTTCTTTTTCAAGTAAAGTATCGTGTACGACAGATCAGATAAAGAAAAATTATGGTTTTAACGTCAACAAATCACTATTTATGTCATTTACAATCCGATGTTTAAACGACAAGAACATAATATTACTTTATGACGTAGAAAATCGTTTCCTCAACTAACTGGGGAGGGGGGGGGGGCACAAGCGCTTTGCGACGTTAGACAAAATAGTTGTATAGAAAAATCTTTTTGACTGTTACAAGTAATGTAAATTCGTCGTTTTAAAAAGAAGCGAAACTTCCAGAGAAGCTCGTACATTCAACTAGAATTTAAAATAATATCTCGCATAATGCTAATTGTTACAGACTCCTAGAAACTTCAATTTTCTTCTAGTCTTTTCTGTAAGGAACATTTTTTCACGTTTAGCTCATAAATGTATTATTGTTTTTGTCACGAGATGTGGTCGAACCCCTGTCAATTTTCAAAAATAAAATAATTTTTGGATTTAGACAGTCACAGCTGGAAATCAATTTTTCAAAAAGAGACTTCCTCCTTTGCTGTTTATGACAGCAAAGTTCTTAAATATCATGATACCTTTTAATCATAACATAAGGTACGCAATCGATGCGATTTTTTGTGAGAACCGAGGTATGTTCAGATTTCTAAAAAAGGAAATTATTCAAATGTCTAAAATTTCTATTAACTCAACAAATATACAGCAGTGCGAATCAAAAGTTTTTAGACATATTGGAAATTACAGAAATTTTATAAATTTTAGTAATGCTAGAAATTTCTATAAGTACATAATTGCGGAAGTTTCAAAAATTTCGGAAATTACATCATTTTAGGAAGTAACGTATAATTCAAGACACATATGCTTAAAATCTCCGAAACTTCCGAAATTTTCTTTTCCGGAAGTGTGAACACTACTATAAATTTGTTTGTTAGATAGTGAAAAAATTAATTTGACCCGCATATGTCCATTGGTGTCAATCTATTTTTTAGTTTCGTTCTTATGAATCCAGTCTGATATACATTTTAGAGGCCTATAGTTATAAAAATAATTTATATAACCCTATTATATATTTTTAATATTTTTTTTTCATTTTTAACGAATAGAATAAAATACAAACTAGATGTTTAGTGATAATATTAAGAAGAATGAGAAGATTTTAATGTAGGAATATGTATGTTCTTCAATTCTATATTTCAATTGATTGCGTAAGAGTTTATTGAAATTGCCCGTTGCCATGTTCATGACGTGTATTTTTCTCCTTCTTTTTTTTTTCGCGCTTCTACTCGATAAAATGAAGTATGTATAGTTATTTTCAGATCTTTATTTGGTCATCAATTAACATCAGCGTCATTCCGAGAAAGGGTAAAAAACGAATGAGAAATGAGAAAGAAAAGCAGAGCGAGCACTAATGTATGTATCACATATTATTCTTCTACTTCTTTCTTTAAAGAACGAATAGACGAAGAAAACGTAAATAATAATATGGTGTGACTCTGATGTTTAAAGCTGATTGGTGGTGTTCTTTTTACAATTTTGGTTCCCTATTAATGTAGTTATGGAAAAATCTTGATCGAGACACACTTGATCAATAATTATTATTCATATTTAGTAATTCTTACTTAAGAATAGTCCTGACAACGAAAAACTCACATTTTACCTTTTTGCTATTTGTCACCTAACAATAATGAATGTTTCTTTTTGACCTCAACCAAGCAAACATGTGTATTTATTTATAAAACTTTTTCTACGTCATTCATCATATATATATACTTAGCTATTGTTTTAGGTATTTTTTTTTTACATTAGATAAAATTAACAGAATAATTTCTTTGTAGATATTATGGAAACGGTCAATAGTCGACCTGAATCAATGATTTTTCAAACAGAAGATTCTGGTGAAACAAATCCAAATGATGCATCTATTAAAAAATCTACAATGAAAGATGAAATTTCATCATTATCATCAATAGATAGTATTAATGATAAAACTATTAGTCCTAATGAAAAAGATTCTCCATTAGGAAATAATTTAACACCATCAGTATCATCGACAACAACTGATAGTGATTTAGAAAGTGAACAAGGTGATTCTATTCGATCGGAAGAAAAAAAAAATGATAAAAAAAATCGAACACGTGTACCAAAACGTGTAAAATATTTTCGTAAATTATTTACATCTGAAATACCAGATGATATGCCAGAATTACTTGATTATTATGTCTGTGCATATCAAGGTGATATATTATTACAAGGAAAGATGTTTATAACAGACCGTTATCTTTGTTTTTATTCACGTATTATAAATTATGTAACAAAACATGTTTATCGTTGGGAAGACATTTGCAATATTACAAAAGAACGTGTTGCATATATATTTCCAACAGCTATTGGTATTAAATTGAAAGAATCAAAAAAGAAAGTTCTTTACGCATCATTTCTTTCACGTGATGATGCTTATGAAAAAATAGCATCCGTTTGGTTACGATATACAAATAATAAAAAACCACTGGGCGATGATGAAGGTGGTTTCACATTGAATGAAGCACCAAAATTAATAAATAAAAATCTTATAATAAAAAATGCAAAACATAATTCACGGGACTCTATTAACGGATCTGAATCAGAAGAAGTTACAGAAGTATGTTTAGATGAAAATGATAATAATAGTGATAATGGTTATAGAAGACGAGTTAAATCGGTCTCACCAAAACTTGGTGATGAAAAACAAAGACCAACAACATTAGTTAATACACACAGAGACAAATTAGTTGAAAAAAATCCGATTCTTAATCAAAAATTACCAAATCGGTTAGATGCAAATAGTCCTAATACAAATAAACCTTCTCGATTTTCACGTCGTTCAAAAAAGGAACAAAAACAAAATGATATAACACAAAGTAAGATTTTTTTAAATATGTTTTATTCATTCATTTAATCCAATGTTTGATTGATAGATATATACATTGGGCATTTTCAACAGTCACTTAGATTTTCTATTCTAGAAGTTCAGTATTGAGTTTCGAAAGGATGTAACTGTAGAAAGTTGCAAATCTATGATCATGATTTTTCTATTATTGCTCATTCGACAAGTTTCACTAATGTATTATATTTATAAATTGTTTATTCAATTTACTTTTTAGATCACAAGATGTTCTTTTCATATAAACCAAAATTTTTGATGTGTTTGAGAGTAGAGTGATGAAAGGATAAACAGTAAGGAGTAGTACTGTTTCCATTTTTTCTCTGAAAAAACCTTGTTCTGAGCCAGACAAAGTTTGAACTTATATTCAATCACATTCATGTCTCGAATTGTTAGTTCAAGATGAAAGCCCGTCGGGTACAAAAATGTTTGACTCAAACATAAACTGAACTCCTAATTTCAACGAAACTTCTTCGTTTCAGTCCGATAGTCCTTCAGAAGATATGAGATATTTTTTATCGATTATTTGTTTTTTGCTACTAAGATATTCTATACATTTCTCAAACAATTTTGTCGACGATCTTATAATAATCAAGTCAAAATTGGCTATTACTTTTATAGTATGAACTGTTGAATTGCTCTAGAATACGAAAGAGCTCTAGTTCAAGTTCTCAAGAACATAGAGTCGTAACTCTGTAGTAAATCCAATTTCCACCAGAGTTTTATCCTTAACATCCTCCCATTAAATAAAACATATTAAAAATAAAATATTCTTTCTACTAGTAATATACATAAATTCATCAGTTAATATTCGAAACTAATATTAAAAACGTCTTTTACTATTGGATTAATTGTGATCTAGTTCTCTATCTTGAAAAAAATCGAATAGAATGGAAATTGTTTTCTTTTTAGTTTGATGTATAAGTTGATTCTAAATTTTTGCTTATTTACTTTAACCATCCATTTCTTTGATATGTAATTAAATAGATATATGTTGAAAACTTATTATTTTGTTTCTAATATAGGGAGCAGTTCTTTGATAACTCGTCGAACACAAAATATTCCATTAGAAGTACAACCAACTCCAGTTATTAATCAACCAGTATCTCTACCAGAACAAACCTCATCTGAACCAAATTCTTCATCAGCTTTAATTCCAAATATTAATCCACCAGTACCACAACAAGATGATAGTGGATTTCCAACAAAAATTTTCAATAAAACTATTTCTATTATTAATTTAATTATTCAACCAATATTGTCATTATTTCATCATTTTCATATGCATCCAACTAAAGCAGCTACTTTTATTTTATTATTTCTAACAATATTATTTTTTCATTCATTTTATTTAATTGTATTAGCTTATCGAGTAGAAAATCGTTTACAATCATTACATAATTTATGGCCATCATCGTTGATGAAAAACTCATTGTAACTTAATTCAAAACAACTCCAGTAGCCCAGATAAATTATTTTATATCTTTAATATATATATATGTATATGTGTCCGTCCAAGTGAATACTTAGCTCCGGTTCTATTGCTCACACAGTGATAAATGTACTTGAAAGCCATATTTATTTTTAAATATATAAACAGCTCTTTTAACTCTAATTTTTACTTTTAAAACATTTATTTCATTCGAAGTTTTTTTTATTATTTTCAATGTTGCTTAAGTGGATTTTATTATAAACTAAACATAATAAGCATAACAACTATTTTATTTATTCTAATTTAAAAACTGTATTGTCGCGTGAATGGGAGCTTTCTGTATTACATAACATGATGATTTTAAAAATGAAATTTTTCAAAAATTTTATGATTCATAAATTGATTTTTGACATCAAGCAGCCGAAGAATACAATACGAAGACAAATACTTATTGCATAATTACAGTAAAATTAAGAAAAATTTCCAGCGAAATTTATTATTTGTTCATATTTGATTAACATATTGTTGGTAACATAAATATTTTTTTTTTATATATGTCACAATGTGATTGACTTCGTTACTAAGATACTACCGAATAGGCTTCAATTTATTTACATGACGCAGCAAAATCTTAAGTGTCATACTCAGACACTTTTCAAATGTTTTCATGCATTACTTTTGTAAATAAAGTTTAATTAAAAAAAAAACATTCAAGATTCTTTTGCAAAAAAAATATTCACAAAACCGGGTGTGCCATACAAAAATTAGCCATCTTATATTAATATTATTTCTGCAATTTTTTAGCATCAAATTTTTGAGCGAATTCTCTTTCAAATAATTGAGCTAGTGTAAAACTATCAGACACAGATTTCTTTTATTTTAACAATGTTTTAACATAGTTTGAGAGAAAAAGACAATTTATTAAATCTGAAATCGGTGCTGAAACGCTCTATACCCTAATCGTGAAGCAAAAAAAAAATCTCTGAATAAAAGTTACTTTAGATTTGTCATTTGGTGTAATTATAGAGTTGTTAAGGCGCTAGAGAAAAGTTTAATAACAAAATATTTTTCAGTTTTCTCCCTATAATGATCAGCAATCAACTCAAATCTAAATAGTGATTATAATAGCCAATGTAGTTTTCTATCTGTTATATTATGTATCTAGGTTTATATATTATGGAATGTATTAGAAAGAAATTTTCATTGATTGTTAAAAACACTATTGAAGTTCGAACTAAGTGCGTAGCATTACAGAAAAAACTCAAATAACTATTGTTATGAAACTTTTATTCACTACCTTAGTATATTCATCAAGAAAAAAAATTGAACTTAAAAAAGATTGTTTTTAAAGACTTTTTCGTTTTCATATAATTATTCAAGTTTACTGATAATTGCTGTTGTATACTTTTTGATTATACTGGACTTTGTCTTTCATTCTGAAATCAAGACTTATCAGTAATTCATATACGTCATCGTACCTCTTGAAAGACAGTTTATTGTATACAGTCGAACGTAATTAAAATGAATTCAAGTGATGGAATAACTCAATTAGTATTGTACATTGTCTTATGATTAAACTATGTAACTCTACTATTACACGAATATTTTTACAAAAGTAGCAATCTAGTAATTATTCAAAAGAATTTACAATGTATACTGAAGTTATGAAAACTTAGAAATATAGTCTGAAAACTTCAGATCATTATCCGTACTATTTCGTTGTCGAATTATTAAATTTTACTAACAGATCGATAAAAAAAAGCAAGGATGCTTGTATCTCAAAACAGAGATCATTGTTTGAATCAATTTCGTTTTTTTGTATCCATTTAAAACGAAGTTTTTTTCAAAATGAAATCAATTCTGTTTAGTAGCTTTTTCTTAGTTTTATCTATTACAACAGATATCAGTTGTTTTATAAGCAAGTCAATTTTTCTGATTAGTACCAAAGAGTGGCTTGAGATAAGACTTATGATCATCTTTTAAATAAATTTGATAATATATATATATAGAAAACCGATTAGCTGACTTATTTCTCTTATTTATGTATTTTAAGATTTTGATCTCGATTGAATTTTTATGTTCTGAATAAAAATACCAATACGAACAATTCAATTAATATTCACAAAATGAAATAAAAGATTGTGCTTCAAAGATTTTTGTTGGGTTTCGTAAAACAAAAGATAGTATATCAAACAATTTCTGAATGTATTTTTAATATACAAATGTAATGAATATATTGAATCAAAACAAACATAATCAGACGAAGATACAAGAAAGTGAAATTTTCGGATATATGAAGTGAACAAGCACAGGTTTTCTACTGTTACCAAATAGAGATAAACAAGAAGAAAAACAAACAAAATATTTAACTTCTATATGGATGATGTCTGACTTGTGGTATTACATTTGAACGTTGTACAAGTTGGGCAGATTGTTGAGCAACAACACCAGTAGCGGCTGTTGATTGTTGTGATGTAGTAACATTTGGATTTGTTGTTGATTTAATCATTTGATAAGTAGCAGCCGTCGGTTGTCCAGTAGCAGCCGTAATTTGATATGCTATTTGCTGTTGAGATTGAGATGGATGTTGTTGAGTAGTACCATTATGCAAGGTAGGACCTGCTGAATACATAACTGGAGCCCCTGTAGTTGTGACTGATCCTGGTGTTGGAGTTGCTTGTGCAAGTACATAACTTTGACCACCTGCTTGATAAATAGCTTGAGCACCGGTTGATGTATAATACATTTGTTGCGGTACACCTGGCTGAGTAGCATATTGCATCTAATTGGATCGAATAAGAATTTATTATTGAATTTGTTGGTTCATTTTTTTTGAATATGAAAGGAGGAGAAGTAGGAATCGATGACTGATCAAATAGATCTTCAGAGAAATACGATTTCTGCCATACCAAACTCTCACTTAAAGATGTCTCAGTCAATCGAAATACTCAATGACGATCATATGTACACAACATCTGGCTATTAAAAATAGTCAGCTTTTTTTATCTATCAATCCGAAAACCGATCGGACTAATATTTATATGGTTCGATGACGCTTTTCAACGGCTTCTAAACGGTATAAAAGATATCATGGAAAAAACACTAGCTATATAAAAAGATTGCAAAGAGACCAGTCTCAAGATATGGTATTCATGGTTTTGGACTGATAGTTAGTAGATTTCAATCAGAACATTATGATTTAGATAAAAACTAGCATGATATTCTGAATCAACGCCCAAAATTGAGTGGATTTACGAGAATTCCGATAATTTTCAGAAGCTTTTTCTGTTCGTCGAAAACTTCATTCCTGGTCCTCTTCAGGATTAGGTCAAATAAATGAATTCCATGAAAACTCTGTTCCTATCGGTTATTCATGTGCTATTTTGAGTTCTTATATCGTTTTATAAGTTTAGAACTTAATTCCTACTGTTAAAATAACTTTCTGACAAAATTCATATTTTAATTCAATCCTAACAGGAACCAAGAGGGATTTTTCGATAAACAAAAACAAAAAGTTACAAAATTTTTCAGTATTCACGTAAGCACATTCAGTTCTTGATACTGATTCAGAGTATCATATTAAATTTTATCTATGATGCAAAAAAAAATCATAAAATCGTATCTTGAGAATAGTCTCCTTCGAGTTTCTGTGTATGAATTATGGTTTTTCTTCGATGTTTTCATAGTATTTCGGAGCGCCCAAGAAGTGCCAGTTATCATCAGCAATTCGATTCGATGTACCGGTAACGGTCATTGACTATTTCAATTAATCTGCGCACAGTATAAATGAATGCTATATGAATTAATTCTATCGAAGTTCACTTCCGAACATTTTGTAAACTCGACATGAAAGAAATCAAGCTTCTCTAGGGAGCCATTTGCAACAGTTATCGACCGGTCTCCTTTGATTTTTTACCTGAGTCATTAAATTAAGTTGCTGTTGTTGAGCTGGTGCTTGAGCCATAGCAGCATAATAAATATTATTCGTAGAAGCACCATTAGCAGATGACTGTTGTTGTTGTGAATGATATGCATGTTGATATTGTTGTTGTTGTGGATGATATGCATGTTGATATTGTTGTTGTTGTTGAATAGCTGCAGCTGTAGCTGTTGCAGCACTTTGTTTTTGTGGTGAAATCACTGTTGATGTTGGTTGTGATTGAATTACAGCTGATGATGAGTTTGCTGACGAACCATTTGAATTATTTGTAGTAGCTGATTGCGATGTACCAATGTAATGAGTTGCCGATTGATTTATATAAGCTAAAGATAATTTTTATTTTGAAATATAATCATATTCAAAATCTATTTACCTTGTGCAGCAGCTGAATTTGTTGATAAACCTTGTTGTTGTGCATAATTAGTTGGTAATTGAATATATTGTATAGGAGCTGCTTGTATTGTTGGTTGTCCAGCATATTGATAAACGATTTGTTGTGCTTGGCCACCAACCATAGCAATTGGAAGTCGTGATGCAGTTGCTGTTGCTTGACCAGCTGCATTGAAAGAAATATATTGTTGTTGTTGCTGTTGTTGTACAAATTGTGTTTGTGGTTGTATTGCCGCAGTAGTTGCTTGTGCACTTTGAGCAAGTAAAGCATAACCACCACCAGCTGTACGTACTAATGTGTAACCAGCAGGTATACCATTAATTAAACTTTGTTGTTGTTGAGTTGCAGCAGTAGCAGCAGCTAATTGAGCTGCTTGTTGTTGTTGGACAATGGCTTGTAATTGAGCAGCATAAAGTGCTGGTTGTTGTATTGTTTGACCAGCATGTGTAGCAAATGCAATTGGAGTTGTAGCAGCTGCTGTTTGATAACTACGAAGAGCATCTAATTGTACACCTAAAATAACAAATTGATATACATATATATATAAATTTGATGTAAATATGTCTTACCACCATAGATTACTTGTCCAGTGAGACTGTTAGCAGGACTAGCTGTTGTAGTATATAAAACACTTGATGGTGCTCGTATTCCCGCTGCAGTTGGCATTGCACCAAGTAGACTAGTCTGTCGATAAGCAGCTTGAATAGCTGCAGCAGAATGAGCTAATGGTAGAGTAGTAGCTACAGCTGTAGCCGGTACTATAGTACTTGGACTTGTTGATGTTGGAGGTGGTGGTGGCGGCGGTGGCGGTATTATAGAATTCAATGAAGTTTCATTATTATTTGTCCATATTGCCGTAGCTGGTGATGATGTTGCTGATCGATTACCATTCAATGCTGTCGGTGATGATGATGGTCCGGTTCCATTAGTAATAAAAGTAGATGTATTGTCTGATGTTACTATCGTAGAAATTGTTTCCAAATTCGTTTTTGGTGAATGTAGTTGTTCTACTATTGGTGGCGGGGGTGGGAGTGGTTCTTCTTCATAAATATGTTCAAGTGCACGTGTAGCTGCTTCTGCTAATTGAACATTTTCTTTTAATTTATTTTGTAATAATGGATCATCTGTTTGTGCAATGACTCGTAATGTATCCGTTTCTAATATATCTGGTTCTGCATCTAAATCATCGAAATTTGTCGGCCATTGACTTCCTAAAATTAATTAAAAAAAAAATATATTCAATCATTAAAAAAATGAATAAATCAACAAACCATCTTGAATAAGACTAACAATTGCATAAGGTAGACAATGATGAGGCCGTTTAATTGTTTCTCGACCTTCAAATTCGTAAAGAAATATCTAAAAATTCATAAAATTGATAATCATAAAACAAGAATTAATTGTTTTTTTTTTATTATTATCTTACTTGTGATTGATCAAATTGTTTTTCAAGATCATCAGTTTCTTTTGGTGTAATTACTGAACAATGACTTGTAAATTGAGGTGTAGGTGCAATTGGTTGCAGTTTAGGTCCTTTTCGAACAAGAGCTGCTGTTTGTTTTCCTTCAACAATCTGGAAAATAAAAATATCGAACAAACAATGAAACAGCTATCTTTCTTTTTTTTTTAATATCATTTCATTTTCAAACTAACCTTGAAAATAATCATTTTGATTACTACATTACCCTCCCATGTTCGACGAACACTTGCATGTCGAATACATACATCAGCATATTTGCAAATGTATATTCCATATTTACTATGTCCTAAAATATCAACAACATTAAAATGATAATCATAAATATAAACACTAAGATATACACTCATAACATGAAAAAAACACAATGACAATAATCATGGAAATATAAAATGACAGAAATATATATAGATTCAAATCATTGCATAATCACTCCATTTGAAATAGAGATATATAAATAACATGCAGAAATAAAATAAAAAGTGATTATTAAACATAGAAAGACAGAATCGTAATGACTATAAATCAAATAAAATTCTTTTTTTTTTTTGTTTTTTTTAAATTTATGACAATTGATTATTTAATAAATAGTCGTGCGAATTATATTAAATTATCATCAGGAAATTTTTCAAACACAAATATAATAGCTACATTTTTGTCACAATATGTAGCTACAATATATGAATCAACACCACTCTGATAATTACCACAAAGGGGCATAATTATTATGAAAAACAATACAAAACTAAGTAATGATACTTTCTAGATCTTTTCTGACCTACAGTGAACCTATAGCAAAAACTTCGCAATAATAGACAAAAAAAAAAAAAGGATTAGTATATAAAATCACAACAGTATATACTAGAAAACGCAAGCTAAATAATGATAATAGAATCAAGTGAAACATATTACATCAAAAATTATTGTGTATGCAATGGCGACTGATATATGTGTAGGGATAGAAGAAAGAAGCCCGAGCATTTATCATCGCTCGAAACTCACGTTGTTGCTTGTTTTATATATTCCATTTGAATAAAATTATTTGATGATTCCTACACGAATAACTAAGCACACAAATATCAAATTTAAAAAAGAATTTAACAGAAAATAAATAACGAAGCCCCCATGCAAATGTGCATTTAAATAAGTGTGTATAAGAAGATCTGCTTACCAAAGTAAAAAAAAAAAACAAAAAAACAAAAAAGAAAGAAAACACAAAGAGCACATGCAAGCAAATTCTATAAACAAATTTTTTTTTTTTTCGCAATAATCAATTTATTGTTAGTAGTAATTTTAAGTGTATGATGTGCATAGATGATCAGATTTATTGATAGTGTTCGTGAATATATATATATTTATCGAAATAGAAAAAGAGGGAGAGATATATAAAATAGTGAACGCACAATAATAGCAAAAAAACCAAAGGATTTAAATAAGAATGAAATGCTACTATTTTTTTCAAGGATTAGTAAAAAAAAAAAAAAGAAATCACAGTCAATATAATTATAATAATGCAATGTGAAAATTTAACAAAAACAATAACCGAAATATGAAGAGCAGCGCAATTATTTAATAACCATTTAGAACGATATTTAGATAAAAAAAAAATATATAAGTAGTAAGTGATTAAAAAAAAAACGGGCGATCTACACCAATGGTTGTGATATAGATACTTACGAATAATTATTAGCATATTTTCAAGGTTATATACACACTAACCGATACATATAGTGTCGGGATAAAGAAAAAGTTAAGCAAGTATATATTCACACAAATTACAAAAACAAGAATTTGTTAAAAAACATTCTCTTTTCTTGCTCCCTGTATTCTATTTAAAGATTATCAAATTAGTAAATACAACTAAAGAATTTATTTAATTTAAATAAATAAATAAATAAATAAACATTTATCTACCTAGAACATTGAAAGAAGTTTCCATGCAATGATAACCATTGTGACATATATCAAGAATTTGTGCATCGTTTTCTATTAAAAAAGCATAGCGTTCTTCAAACTCACAACGATTACCAGCAGCGGCTTTTTCAAATTTTTTTCGTACAGCTAAAGACAAAAGAAAAAAAAAACAAATAAGCAATATCATATTCAATATAAAAAACCTAAATTAGCAAATAGAAAGCAAGCATATATCATCCGACATTATTAGTTAAAAAGTACAAAAAGTCAATTGACTACAATCATTGATAATATTTTTTTTTTCAAAAAGTCTTATTCTATACTACAGCTATATCAACAAGCAGCAAATCAATATGGACAAAAAAAAAAAAAATCTTCTTCTACTATAAAAGGACGTGCTCTACTGCTGATATATTGCGAACATTTATGCATATATTTTCAAAAGATCTCGGTTTAGATATTTTCAAATAGGAATAGACAACATTCATGCAAACTACCTATAAGAAAAGCGTTAGAAGAAATAAAATGAATTAGTCATTAATTTATTAAACAATATTTCATTTGTTTACATGCAGGTTTCGTTATCTTCTGTGCACGATAAATAATGATCGAATGAGAGAATCACTTGGCAAAAAAAAAAACATAATTTTACAGACAAAAAGCATGCAAAGGAAAAATAAAAATATATTAGATTAGTATTTATTTTCACAACGAAAATTTTAACCGACCAATTCAGATTTTGTAAAGATGAGTAACTAGAAAAATACTATTGTTTTTGTCGAAATCGATCCTGATAATAACACAGCGAACAAACAAACAATTAATCAAAAAATATATTTACCAAAAAAATCATCTGTTAATGATGTATTAACAACTAATTCAACTTTAATTGGTTTCCATGTTATAGAATGTTGTTCAAGAAAATTTTTACGTAAAACATTATGAATATTACGTTCAATTTTTGAATTATTACTTGTTTCTAATATTAATTCTATACAAGAAATAAAATAGAATATAAAACATTTAAAAGAATATTAATATTTATACTAAGTGATGCTTGAAGAGAATTTTCCGCTTCATCGGTAATATTTGTTCCTTTTTCATCAGTCATTGTTGGCTAGCTACAAAAAGCAAAAATGACTGACAAAAAAATTATTTGTCATTTGTGTTCGTTTTTATCCAATGTTTATCGAACAGATGAGACGCCACCTATTGATATTATTTAGTCTCCTTGATGGCGTTGATTATTAGAAGTTTTTTTTTCTTCTTCACTTCAATCAAACAATGTTTTTTTTTAACAAAAAAGATCGCTGAGTACACTATGTAATTAGACTAAATAGAGTGTGGATAAACTAGTAAAAAAAATGCACTAGTATGTGACATTTTGGAAGACCAGTAGGAGCTCCAAACAACATCAATAACAAAAACTATTTCGGTTTGAATTACACATAAAATTTTGATTCAAAAATGTACTGCGTAAATAGGCGACGCCATTTATCAACAGCATTGCGGCATATTTTCTTAGAATCGTGACAATGGAGTTTTTTTCACTATATATTTACTTAATTATAGATATCTTTATTGTCTCTAACTATAAATTTGATTCACTGTTGCTTTTCTTTGTCGATGATTAAATAGTAATCATAAGTTCTGTCAAAAATTAAATACTACACTTTTTATTTGGATTCAGAGTGAACAAGCAAAAAAAACGTGATGTTTAATAAGCACAAAAAAATAATAAAAACTTAATAAAAGATATATAAAATTGCTCTGTTCATACAGCCGGTCATCTTTGTCTAGCGAAAATGGGGAAAGATTTAAATGCTTTTTCAATGAAAAGTCTTAATTAGCTCGAAATAGTCACTGCAATGCTTTTATCGCCACCTATTAACGACGATCTCGGAAATACGACTTGAATCTATAGGATAAATTATACCACAAAAGTAGAGTCACTTCTACTGACTATTTTACGAACAAGTGCTGCGAATCATAGAATTTTTTTCTGTTAAAAACGCATTTTTTCATTGAATTTCAAGAAGTAATCAACTTTTAACTTTATAGTAGATGAGACCGTATTTCGCAGAAGTGGCTTCTCAGTAAGAGATGCTGTCGTAAAAATGGAAAGTTTCTAGCATGCTTCTTACAAGACTTATGTTAGTACTAGATATAGCATGAAATAAAAAAGGGAAAAAGTAATATAGATTTTGATAAGGACGTCATCCTGAATTTTACGTGCACCCTATGTTTAGCTCATTTCTGTTCTCATATTTACTAAATCTGACAAGAAACATTTGAGGAAACTCTACTAGATAAACTTCTGGCTACTCATGTAAACAGACTTATTGATAGTTTAATGCATCTTTTAGTAGATAGAAAGCTCAGTAAACAAACAATAAGAGTCCTTCATTTATTTCTTCTTATATGCTTTTTTTATCCTACTTTTGTTGTTTGTCGTCTTGTCTCTCGTTTTTATTTTTATAAAAAATAAATAAATAAATAAAAAAACAATTCTGTTATATTTTTATCTCATCCATATTATATGCAAAATTAAAAAAGATGTATAACTACTCTAAAATTAAGAATTTCACTATTAACTTAGAACTGTACTATAAGAGAAAGTATCTCGAGTTATTTGTCGCACCACTATATAAAAAGCCGTGCAAACGAATATTCTTTGTTCATGTCTTTTTCATTGGAAAGATTTCTTCGTCGTAGAAATTTGAAAGAGATATGATCTTCAAAAAGCAAGGCATCATGAAACTACCATGGTGTCCATGAGTATGAGTAGTACGAAAAGAAATAATTGACTACATATGTTAACAAAGTTAGAAATAAAGCAGTGAGAAAAGGATGCAAATTCTTTCTTACTCTCTTCTATCATTCGTATCTAGTAAATGATATAAAATAACATGGTACTATATATGTCGTAAGTGTTTGATTCCTTTCATAAGTATTTCTACACAGGTCTATCAAAATTTTCATCGACTTTCAGTTGGCAAAATTTCTCTATATTAGTTTTGAAGCCCTACTTGTGCTATGTATAAAACGATAGTTAGTTTTTATTTCGATCATGTACTAACTTTGGGAACATGTAAAAACTTGGGGAAAATGGTATTTTATGCTCAATTTGAACTGCTTGTAAAACTTATATATTTAGTTAAGGATCCTTACATATTAGCATGAAAATGAAGCTTATCCTACACTCATTCAAATTCATTGTGTCAGATTTCTTGATTGTATCATTCACTCTAGCTATATGAATTTCAACTTCTGGAGTCTCCAAAACTTTACATTAGGCTTCGATTTTCCCAATAACTACAAATCAGAGTTTTCTGATTAGTTTTTCTGAGTAAATATCAAAGGGTATTACCAATGATTTGATTAAAATATTAGTCTTTGCATTCTGAAATTGTGGAGATCAGATCTTCACGAGCGAAGAATAGTCCACGTTCTATAGTGTACGGTTCATTAAATGTCACGGTTCAAAGTATTAATATTATTCACTGACTTCAGGTAAATTTCGATGTTGCACAGAAGGGCAATGTCATCCTTTTCGGAGTAAATGTAAAGATCGATGTAGAATTTTGAATATACTTGTTTAGTCTCAGATATGCATGTGAGTGTGGGTGAAATCTCTCTTCCACCTACTGTCAACATTGTTAACGGTTCAATTTGAACACTTTGATGAGTTGATCGATCGTGCCTCCGAAGAAAATGTATGCTTATATTTAATATTGTTTTATGCGTTAATTCAAAAACAAGTACGCAAATGATACCTGATCAAATACAAAAGAGTCGAAAAAAAAGAATCTGAACAGTGTTTGTAGTTCATGTAAAAACAAAGTTCGTTATTTGTCTGTATGAGAGATCTTGTTTATTAGAAAACGACTATTGGAACATTATGCAATCAATTTGTTAGGCATTTCAGACCCTTTCTTCTCATTCGTGATTTAAGGTCATGTTTTTAAGTTTCCTTTCTTACTCATAGTAGTTAGAATGTTCTTTCCTCGATTGAAAGCCGCCTGTTGTTGAGAAATGTCTCTCTCTAAAATACAAAATGCTGAGATGTTATTTTCCGGGAATTCTAGTATGAACGAGAATTACCTATGGGCGAAATTTCATGTTGAAATTCTGTAATTCAGTTTTTTCACCAATACTTTGTCAGAGAGAAAAAGTTCAGTAAAATGGCAATAATTTAGGAAGGACAATGCATGCAAACGAATTCTAATAAACTTCTGCTAGTCTCATCAAATCCCACCTGAAAGCAAAATATTAGCTCAATGGTGAGTCATACGTGAAGACATTCTCTCATATAAGTAGTTCGATGAGTTTATCGAATATGTATGAACTTCTTGGCTAGATTTATTGTATTTATTAAATATACAACAAAATAAAAATTATTCCGTTTTGTCCTTTTCTCAATATGCGACACTTAGAAGGGTTTGAACATTAGACAAGTTATGAAAATGGAATACAAGAAGATATAAATATACTCGAAAATTATTTCAAGAACGAATTGGAAGTGTTGTTCGAATACAAAACCTTAAAATTGAACAAAATATTCAAGTTTGTTTTTTTCTTAAATGATAAAGTAAAATGATCTAAAATCAGAAATTTTAGCTTCTTCATGAAACAAAACATCACTATAAACATATATTAAATAGAGCTCGTAAAGTGAATATTTATTTTGCTGATCTTCTTCAAACGACAACGTTCTTGTTGTAAATTAATAATTAATTTTCTGTTTTCTTTTCAATTTTGATACAATTTATAATTAAATTAAAGGTGAATCATATAATAAATTACAATGAATATCTACATCATCAGATGATCAAATCCATCAACTTTTAAGAAATAGTCAATATCAAAAAGTATTGACATCTAATAGTGATAGTTTTCAAAATGAGAAGAATTTGGTTTTTTAATTTTTTGTGACTTGATTGTTAATTTGTCTTCTTTGACGTTATTATATTTTTTTAAATATTTTAAAATTAACAGCTTTTTTCGTGCATCATTCATAAAAAATCTCTAATATTCCTTTTTTCTTTTGACAACTAATATAATATTATTTACTTATTTATTTATATATATATATATAAGACTGAAAAAAGAATAAAAAAATTAAATGTTAAAATTACTTTTCTAGATTCAAATCATTTACCAAAAAATGATGGATTGAAATCTAAAATTGGAGTTTTTTGTGGATTCAAAGATCTGTAAAGTCAGACATTAACCTATAAATCATATTCGATATGTAAATGTTATTGTCGTTGACATATAAAGGATCAACTAACTTCCAGAATTTATTTTTCTGTTATTTTAAAGGAACTTAAATAAAGATTAGCATTTAACTGAGAGTGAAAGATTTATTCTGCTTGGCCAAGATAAATTTTTTTTATGCTATTCATAGTTCATTTCAACAGATTAAAATACTCTAATGTTTGAAAAAAATACACTTCGAAAGGCTTCTAAACGGTATTGAATAAGATGAAACAGATTTTATTTATGTTAATTTAATGAAATCATGTGAAGAAAACAAATTTTTAGCAATATTTCTCGTTTGTTGTTTAAATTAGTCTTGTTCAAACATCGATATACATACTTATGAATAACGAATTCGTATTGATGACTAGCATAGCTTTATTCATCTCAATAATTTTATTTTTTCAAAGATTGAAAAGTGATTCTGTTAGATTAGTATAGATACCTGTACCAATATTGGGATTCATGTGAAAATAAGAAATAATGAAGATGAAATAGAAGGTCAAGGTATGAGGATTGATCTTGAGGCAAATTTACTATTGGGTATCATATTTTTTTTAGTCGATATTATATTGTCACAGAGATGTATTCATCCTAACCATTAGAATGATATGCTTTTCTATATAGATATTGTTGCGAACTTCTCTGATTTAAAATAAAATGAATTTCTTAGAAAATCTTAGTTCTCCATACAAATTTTTCAGTCTAGAATACATACGAGCGATCTTAAAATAATTGTTCATAATCAAAGGTATCCTAGAAGTTGCTGAGGTTTGAAAGAGTCGATGACTCAATATACCGATTGAAATATTTTGCTAAAGCCGTTCGAGTTGGATATTCAGCATCCGGTTCGATCCAAAACATGGGTTCGGGTGCTAGACATGGAAAAACTATTGGTTCGGATTGTAGACATGATCTTATATCCGAACTCGACTCGGCAATTAATGAGACCTGGATGTATCGAAATGCTTTTACTATTTTAAGCTGCTATGTACAGAAAAGCATAGAAGTGAAAATCGGTTCGATCATCATCAAGCAATTAAATATACTTGAGAGTCTGTCACAAAAAAAAAGCAAAGCAATGTTATTTTATTTAGAAAATGCGTCTCTAATGAAAATTCATTTATACATGATGATGAACTATCAGACTAAGGAAAAAAAATGATTTATCGAAACAGTGAATATATAGTACCGTAATGGAAAAAATATTTATGCTTCAATCCAAAATTATGATATTTGGCAGTAGAATTGCGTTCCATTCCAGCATCATCAGCAGTAAGCAAATGTATATTTGGCGATATTGAACGAATTTCAGAAATGGAAACATATCAAGTGAATCCAGAGTCACTTGCTTTTTTTGTCACTGTTTATGAACGAAATTACATAGAATATTTTTTCAGGTAAAGTAAAAGTTTGAAAACCGTACTATGACTATGAAAGTTTCTATCTGATGTCAATTAGCTTCGGTCGGATACCGGATACAACTATCTGAGTTCGGTTCCGATCTGGCTGCGAATAGTTGTACTCGTGCTGAACACTGCCCATAACACTCCTGTTCATCATTTCAAGATGCATTAATTGAATACTGTGATTGTTTAATTTCTCACATCTTTCTTCTGTGATAGTCATTAACATATGAACAAGTATTGTCTTTTTTTTGACTTTTATTTGCATAAAAATAATTTTGTTCGAACCTTCAGATAATCTGATCTAGGTCTAAATTAGAGTAATAAAAACAGAGGTGTAATTCAGCAGTGTAAGAAGAAAGATGTTGTGTAGACTAGTTTCGAAAGTAGGCAGGATGTCCAACTCAATGCAGACCCGGTAATTTATGCTTCTGGTATCAGTCAAAAGAAAAAAAAAGCAGATGCTCAAGTATAAAAATCTAACATGAAAAGGCATTACAATTGGCTTGATCTTGTCCTTCATTTGTTGTGCAAAAGATTAAGTAAGACACAAAATTCGTAATCCACGGAAGTGAATCGAAGTCAATAGAATCACCTTATATAGAAGTTATGACCCAATCAAATGAAAGTCCATGTTTTATAACATTCCAAATAGTGCTTTTCTCTTTCCTTCAACTCGATTGAAATATTCTTAAGCAAATAAAATCAACTCCTTTGGTAAATAATACGTATTAATGTTCGATTTTTCACAGACAACAAATCATTTTAAATGACAATTATCCCTTTTTTTTTGCCATATAATTAAAGTATAGTATTAAAGAAAAATTTGAAAATAATGGGTGCCGAAAATTCACGACGGCATCATCATCAACAAGAGACAGTATCAGGTAAAAGAAACTAATTCACATTCCATTCAATGCTTTCATTACGCAAACTTTCAAAACTTAATTGCTAAATGCGCTGCATAAATTTGCTAAACAAATTTTCTTTATTGCTTATGCTAGAACAATTTTTATCAAACAATAACAAAATTATTTATAATATTTTTAGACAATTTTTTATCATCAGTACAAAATACTAATTTAACACAACATAAAAAACATCGACGAATGGATCGATTGAGACGAACATTAAGTTTTCGTAATAGAAAAAAAGAGAATATATCCAATAATAATAATTTAAATATATCAACAAATAAAAACGGTACAAATCATAATATAACAAGTGAAAATAAACCATTACAATGGCAAGTTGATGAAAAATCTGTACGCATGGGTACTTGCAGTTTTCATGTTAAGGTAAAATGAAAAAGAAAAACAATTACGAAGCAAAAATTAAGAAAAAAAATTTTTAAGTATCTTGGAAGCGTTGAAGTACAAGAATCTCGTGGTATGTATGTATGTGAACAAGCTATTCAAGCTTTATTAAATGTAAATATAAGTAACACAAAATTATTTTTTTTTTAAAGATAGTAATAATTTATTTTTGTATTTAGCAAAAAGTTAAACACATAAAAGCTGTATTGCATGTATCAGGTGATGCACTTCGTGTTGTTGATCAAACAAATAAGGCATAATAATTTATCATAGAAATTAATTGTTACTTTTTTTTTTTTGAAATCATAGGGTCTTATTGTTGATCAAACAATTGAAAAAGTATCATTTTGTGCACCAGATCGTCATCATGGAAAAGGTTTTGCTTATATATGTCGAGATGGTACTACACGTCGATGGCTTTGTCATTGTTTTCTTGCTACTAAAGAAACAGTATGATTAAATTTTGTCAAATAAATTTATAAAAAAAAAAAAAAAAAATCAAAATTTAGGGTGAACGTTTAAGTCATGCTGTTGGTTGTGCTTTTCAAATATGTCTTGAACGTAAACAAAAACGTGATAGTGAATGTGGTGTTACTGTTGAATATACACAAAATGGTGCATCATTTACACGATTTGGTTCATTTCGTACAACATCAATTGCTGAACGTATTATTGATCCACAAAGTGCTATTGTTGTTGGTTTGTTTTTCTTTTGATTATTCAATTAAATTTATTTATTTTTTTGTTATTTTCAATAGAACCAATCATATCTACATTAACAGTAACATCATCGAATTCATCTAATCAGAAACATAATGCTATTGAACGACCTCGACCAAAAGGAAATAGTTCCGATGCACTTATTCGTAGTGCTTCATTGCGCTTAGATAACCTTAATCAAACAACAATCAATTCATTCAAACGACAAAATTCATTGAGACCTAATGATTTACCGTCCATACAAGAAGCAAAATCTAAAGATAAATTAACAAATACAAGTAAGAATTTGTTTTATAATTTTTAAAATATTCTTTTTTTTTTTATTAAATTTTAGTTCCAGAAGAAATTGAATCTACATCAATGATTAATGATTTTTCCAAGTTATCATTATTTGATTCAACAAATACTTATAGTAAATTTATTAATTAAATGTTTAAAAATTGCTCGTATACATAAATAATTTTAGATTATAATCATTTTTCTCTTCCAACAACAAAATCTTCAAACATTCCATTATCGTCAAATACTTGGCTAACAAATCCACAAACTATCATTCCTGAACAAACTCAATATATAAATACAACAACATCAATAAATGATATATTCGATTCAAATTTAACTGCTCTTGTTCAAAGTAATCACCCAATTAATCCATTTTCTCCATATGGTTATTCCATGGCAGCTCAAGCTCAATCATCGAATATAAATCATCAACAATTACCTATATTCACATCAAAACGTGGCTCAAATCCATTTGATGACGATCTTATACGACGATAAAATATATCTGTCAAGTTTTTATTGAGACTACATTTTTTTTTCTTTTGGCTGATTATTATTATTATCTTCTATTTTTTTTTTGTTTCTTTTTTTCATAGTGATTTTTTTTCTGTATAATTTTTTTGTTTACTAATCCGAAATTTTTGGCATGTGTCTATATATACATATATATGTATTTGTAATTTCAAATTGAATAACAAAAATGAAAATATCCAGCAATGATGGTAATAAAATATAAATGATTAAACCGTATGTCTGTGCTCTATTTCAGTCTGAAAGGATAAAGCGCATTAAATCTTAAATAATAATTAATTTTCACAGATATTTAGCATTGTGTACAATGTTGTCAAGAATACTGAATAGTTTTGTCATCAGTATTTTACTACTGATGCTATCATTCTTTTTAAATAATACTAAAAGAAAGACGTAAAGATTTCGTCAGGTTTTACAATAGACTCACAAGCAGAGAGATGTCAGGGTATCTTGGCACTCTCAAGGCATCATGAAAAAAAATAGAAAAAGCCAAAAATTATTGAATTTTGGTCTTTCATATCACAGGCCTAGTATGACCTTCAAAGTATGAGAATTATTACTGATCATTATCTCAAGTACAATTGAAAAAGAATAACGTCTATGTCAAACAGTCTGGATACTTCGCATAGAAATAAAGCGTTTTTTTTTCTGTTTTGCTCTCAAATAAATCATTGAAAAACAATACACTCAATAGACACAGCAGTCGATTAAACTTCCACGACTATCTAAAGAAATAGTAAAAATGAATTAAACTTAACAAAATAATACAATGAGAACTTGGTTTCATCTGCAGATGAAGTAAATGCGTTGAGAAAAAAAAATCAAAACTGATTTAATAGTCTATTTTTATTTAACATTGCTCTGATTATTAATAACATTCATTATCAATCGCTAAGTGAAACCTTCCGATTTTTTTTCTCGTAAGAAGTATCACTATGATATATGAATTCAGTGTTGGTGGTCTATTAAAATTTCGAAAATATCTATAAAGATTTAGTCAAGTTGAACATTCAATGGTGTATCTTTTGAAAAACAAAGATTAATGTTTCACTATGTTGCTGAACGGAGTTATATGCAAAACAAAAAAATGTCGCAAAATATTAGCCAAACTCGAAACTTATTTTAAAATATATTTGGCAAAGATTAAATTCAATGGATAAGACGAAAAACAGTTGATAATAATCTCATTCTATCTAGAGCCGTGAGAAACACACTGTCTTAAAGGAAGCATTCGAGCATATAATTTGTCTATTATTAGACTATCATGAATAAATTTACGTGTAATCCATAGAAAAATTCAGCTATTTTCCTTGTTCTACAAAGACGAACACAAATAAATAAGCCTAGTCAACTTAATCTATAAACACTCAGATATTGAGAAGAATCGATTTTAGATAAGAATCAAGTTAATTATATAATCAATACTACAAAATATTATCAACGGTACTGATAAATCATCTACATAGAGTTATTAGAATCTGTTCATGTATCAGTTTTTTAACAACTTTTCTTTTAAAACATTAAGTATTGCATTTCGTTTACTAAAATCAATAAATCCTATCAGAAAATCAGCGATTCAGTTGAGCTTTTCATTTATTTAATCGTCCTATCTTATCATTCGACATCAGGGAGAATTATGTGATAAATAACATGCCTTTCTAAGTTATATTTTAACGTGAATATTTCCTTCGTTATACAAATTAGGAAATAGGCAAGTTTTTTCAAAGATGAATAATCATACTTTTGCAACAGAAGCAATAATTTCATACATATATATATATACTTTTGTGGGATTTTTTTTCTATTATTACAATGAATTGGTAATGTCAGACTAATTGGGACATATCCACTTTTTATTAGACTTGAATTCTTTGCAAAGATTATTTTTCTAAATAAATTCCTTAAACATACACAGATGTTGGTTCTATTAGTTGTCCATAAGGTAAAAATTAGTTAACGAATATGTTTCTGACCATAAGAGAAAAAGGTCAAAAAAACCCACAATCTACGGCGTGAACTCCACCTACGCTAGAATTTTCAACAAGATCGAATTCCAAAAAAATTCTTCTTAATAATTGATTTTATAGAGATCTTATCAAGTACTGAAACAAAAACTTTTGTCTTATCATAATATAAAGACTTTGACGAAGAATTTCTACCGTTTGAAATTGGTCCTCAACTTCGTATTCAGTTATAAGAACGTTTTTTTGTTCTTCGTCATATTGATAACGAAAAGGATATCGACTTTTTGATAAATCTAGGCATGCTGAAAAAAAAAAACTTTGAATAGATATTTTGTAGGTTCAGGAGTTGTCTACAGAATGTATTATTTAATTTTCAAAACTGTTGTCTTACTTCGGAATTTTTAATACTAAAATGCATGACATGAAAATCTATGTCCTTTTTTGTATCATGTCATTAACGCTGATTTTTTTTCTGGGTAATAAATTAACATATGTGTGACATAGAAAAATTTAGCTCTGGAAATGTTCATTACGTTAAGATATGCATGTTTGGTTTTTGCGAGGTCATGTCGCTAACAAATAATATGACCCATATCTCTTAATGGAAGTGAAAATGAATTAAAAGTATATGATGTTTAACTTTTGTTTTATTTAGTTTTCTGTTTCTTTTCTAAACCATAAATAAAGAAACATAAATCTTTATATAAACGTATGTGCGTGACAACAATGAAAGAACATCGAGTTTGACATACAATAACTGATTCGCACAAGGCAAAAAGAAACAAATGAATAGGCCCAAGACAATAAACACACATATATTTTTTTTTCAAGACATATATTAGCAAATTTGAGAGAGAAATGGACAACAAAAAAAAAATAAGAAAAAAAAAAAAAAGAAAAAGTTACATCCCATATATTATGTTTCATTTTATTCAATCCATCGTGTTGTTTATTTTTCTTTGTTAAATAATATTACCAATCGGCGTCACCTGTAGCTTTACTAAATACATAATCACGTCCTTCAATATTCATTACACCACTTTTTAATATAAATCGCCATTTATTTTTGATACGCGATATCTACAAAGGAAACATATTCAGATAGAATCTTGCATTCGTTTATTTGAATATTGTTTCATACTTTATCATATTGACATACAACAACATTATCTGTATCAAACAATTCTGCTGGTTCGTCATCACTAACATCATCATCTGAACAAAGTGGATTAGGATCTTCTTTTCCTTCTTCGTTGCCATCTTCATCATCATCATCTTCTAAATCATCTCCAACATCATTCTAAAATATATCATGTAGATTTTTCCTACTGACCAAAAAGTTAATACTGGAATATTCAAATTTATTTGCGCACTTTAATGTCATAAATTAGTCTTTTTCTTCGATTTAGAAGACAGAATGAAAACTTGGTTTGTAAACTCATACCGACAGTGAATAGTATCTGAACCATATATGATAGTTCTGGTTTTCCAAGTAGTTATTAATATAAAATTAGATGAATCAAAAATGTTTCGTGTTACATGAATTTCAGATTGGATTCAAGTTTACTTCCTCAATTTCTGTAAAACGTCTGATTTCTATGAATAGAAGGTATATTCTGTAGCGTACAGCAAGATGATGTCGTAGCCATAAGAATGACAAACTGCTGAAAAAAACTTTAGCGCTAAGATTTGATCTAAAGGTGTTTAGCTGAGCACTACGCAATGTACCAACTATTCATAGAAATCAGGCTTTATGTACGTACTAATGACATAAACTCGGGCTAGTTCGAAGGTCTTGTATGGCTTTCGGCTCGTGCCGAAAGTCAAGTCCCGTAAAGCTTCAACTAAAGGCTAGGTATAGATTAGCTAGAGACAATCGGTTAAAATCATGCTCTCTACAAACATAAGAATGATACGAAGAATTTCAAGGATATTAGTAATTTCTACAGTAAAAGAATGTTTATTCTAATTATTTCAATTCACGAATTTCTTACTCCTAATTCGCTTTCATCATCTTCGTCGTCATCATCGCCAACCTATATAAAAAACAAAGGTAATAAATCAAATTTTTATGTAAAAACGCATAATATAAATACGTACAGGTGGTCCTGTTCCATCAAGTTGTAATGATATATGAATGATCTTTGATTTTTTCTTTCGACATTTATTTTTTGTCGTACTGTTAACAGAAATAACTTCATCATTTGAACCATCTAATTGATTCAATGTTTTCATTGTATTATTTCCGATATTTGTTTGATTCTATGAAAAAAAACGAAAAATAGTTTTTTAATAAATAAATAAACCTGTTCTTTTTTTTTTTTGTTACTGGTGGTCTATGAGCAAAATTAGCTCGAATGTATTGTGCTGCATCTGAATTTGTTATCGATATAGGTACAGGACTACTAGTAGTTGGTACTACATAAGATGGATTAAAAGTAGATACAGCAGCAGATGATGCTGGATGTAAACGATTTGGTCTTATCGTTGTTGGCTGTCTATTATTTGATGATGAAGCATTATTTGTTTCACCGGTATTTGAATGTCGAAATTCTCGATTTGTTACTTGATCAACAATTGATGCTGGTAACGGTTCTAACGCCCTTGAGCTATTTAATTTTGTTAACCATAACTATAAAAAAAAAATTAGATGTGTTTTATTAAATAAATATCTATTATTTATTTTTTTCTTTACAGTTCGAAGTTCTTGTAATGTATGATCATCATAGCCTTCTTCAGAAAGTGCTTCACGTACTGCTGTACAAACATCATTAATAACCTCTTGATAAATTTTTTTCTAAATATATATATATACATATATATACATTTTTTTTTTTTTTTTTTTTTTTTCGAAAAAAAAAAAATAATTAAATTTTCAAGGCTTACAACATCACTGCCAGCCATAGTTCATTCGTTTTAATTATCGTGATTTATTAATAAATATTTTTCATTAAATTATTAAATAAATTTTGGTTAGACTCGTTTTTTTCTTCTTATGTTATAATTGAGTCTGACGAAAATTTCTCCAGCAAAAATGTTCCTTTTATACTCGTGCTACCCCTTAATATAGACATGGATGCTTATGGCTAAAATTTATTGCTAAATACAAGCGCCACATACAATGAAAAAATATCATTGCAATAAGCGCTTTTTGTAAATGAAAAATATTTTTACAAAAAATTTTATTGGTAGAAAAAAAAAAAGGAAATTTATTTGTAATACGAATATATATAGATTGTTTGATAATAATTGGACAATATAAAATTTTCGAATTAAAGAATAAAATTGTTTAAAAATGTAAGAAGAAATTTAGTTTAGAAGATTTTAAGAAAAAATTATTTTGTTTTTGTTTGATTAAGTTAATAATAAAAATAGATTTAAAAAATATGATTATTCTCTTACGTAAACTTTATTTATTATTTCAAAGGAAAGATTATCATCATTTGCAGATTAATTCGAATAATTTTTCTTAATGTAAGATAGAATTTTATTCAAATTAATCGAAGAGATTCATTTTATTTTCTACTCTGTAAAAAAAAAATGATTTTTTTGTAAATTTTTATATAGGATTGCTCATAAAGGTCGTTTTTTGTCACGTGTATTCTTTATTGCTTCTATATCATTCATATTCCTATATAAACGTTTTAGATAAAAACGAGCCATATTATTAATTTCATAGATGATTGATAATATGTATTATTGTAGAAATATCTTTTTTTCTTTCTTATTTGTAGATATATATATATATATAATTTTCTTAACATCCTTCTTTTCACAGCCAATGGAATCACCAAGTGACCTTCGTTCAATGATTGAACAGACATTAACAATGATAATAACACCAGATCAACAATTAATTGAAAAAGGTCAAACACAATTACAAGCATTAGAATTACTTGATACATATGCACTTGCATTAACAGAAATAACTATTGATATTAAACGTGATATTAGTATACGACAATTAGCTGGTGTTTTACTTCGAAAATATGTTAGCAAACATTGGACAAAGGATATTGAAAATTTTATTGAACCTGAAGTGCCTGAACAAGTATGTACATGAGTTCTATGTCTTGTAAAGCACGAGAACTTCTTAAGTATGTCCTTATAATCATTTTATTAAATGTATCTCATATACAACTTGTTCATTGGTATGAATTCTTAACAAATATTTTCGAATACTATGACATATCAGTAATAAGATTTGTAATACGAAGTATTAACAAATGTATCACGTATAGAGTATTTAGTAAACTTCAGATTATATAGAGTGAAAATTATTTATGCGAGTTTCGTTATCTTACGAAAGTCACTATGTAAAAGTAAACAACTTGATACATTTGTTACACTGCTCATTTATGTACGATCTTAGTAAAGTTTTATTCCTAATACTTCATATTATTACAAAATATTTAGAGGAAATCAACAGAAATGAATAAGTTGAATACAGAATACATTTAATAATATGATTCGAAAGAAATACTTGAAAAAATCTCGATACTGATAAGACATAGAGTATAATAATAACCAATCAGTAGAATCGTATGTATATTTGAATTGGTGAAATCATCATACTTTTTTTTTTTTGATACATGACGAGAACCCGTCGCCTCGAAGACTTTTAGATTGAAACTGAGTTTATCGAATGTTTTTCGAACTTAGATCTGAATTCGACTCATATTCTCAAAGAAACTTTTTAATCCAAACGTGATAGCCGTTTCAAAAGTGCGATATATCTTTTTTGTTTATTTGTATTCGGTGACTAGCACACCTGACATATTTCTTAGACACTGTTGACAGTGATCTTATAAGAATCAAGATATAATTGGTTCGTACCTTCAGAGAAGCACTAGAATCTACTCGAGAGACTCTATATGTGGCTGGAGTAGTATTAAAAAACAATTACTACTTGTGTATCATCTCGACTGGTTCCATCCGTATATATCAACTAGTATGAAGATGATTACTATTGTATTATTTCAAATGAAGTATTAACATACTTAAGAACTATATTTGTTTAAATTAGATACTTTCGGAGTGATTCTTTTTTTTAATTTTGATACTGAATTTTTTTCTGTGAGTTAGTGACAAATTATGTGTTCGATAATATTATATAATTTAAAGTCACATGAAAATGATAAATATATTGAATCGTACGGAGTTTTTTCGCCATAGTCACTTGTGAAAGTTAGTTCAGTGTAGATCATCGTTTGTTTTCTTTTTGTTTCATGTTATTTGGCTATTGAATTGACAGTTTGCATTTAGTAGATGTTATCATTGTCAAAAATAAATGATACATCAGAAAAAAAGTGATATAGTTTCTGGATTCCGATGTGGGCTCTAGTATAGATTGGTTTAAGATATCTTACTAGGTAACTGTTTGAACGGTTAGTCGCCGCTTAAGTTCATATCAGGTTCTCAAGAGGCTTTCGATAAGGTTAAGAAAATTCTAAGTGTTCGCGCCCATGGACCTTTGGAGTAGAGTTATTTCCGCGTTTCTTAATTTTCGATCTAGCTTTAGGTATTTATTAAAAAGTCAAATAATGATATTTTGACTTGAACTTCTACCTATAGATAAGTCTGATGGTTCTGATATAGTTTGAAAGTTTCAGTCCAAAAGAGTCTTCCTTTATTGAGACATCGTATGTTCAAGTAAACTTGATTTTTGTGGCAATCAACAAAGTTCTTTTTTTTAGAAATTAAATATTTCGACTGAAACTTTCAAGATATTTCAGATTTCATCAGACGTATGTATCGACAAAAGTTTACGTCGAAATTCCATTATTTGATATTTTTGGTACATATCGAAAATTGAGTAAAACGGTCATAACTCGGCACTTGAGGCCCATGGACTTGAATCCTTTTAGCAATTTTTCCAGTCTGACTGAGACTTCATTCTGAACCAAATATGAGTTCAAACGGCGAACGTCAGTTCGAGTAATGCTCTCGTTCGCTGAAACAGTATATTACGAATGTTACACAAAATAAAATATTCAGAATTTGTTTTTTAATGAAAACTCATATCAATGTATAACATTCTCTTATTTGATATTATTTCAGGTGAAAAGTCAGATACGTCACATCCTCCCTCATGGTTTAAATGAGCCAAATCATCGACTCCGTGTTGGTCTTGCTTGTGTTATATCAGCAGTAGCCGAATGGGATTGTCCTGAATCATGGCCTGAATTATTACCATTTCTAATTGACTCATTAAAATCAACAAATAAATCTTTAATTCATGGTTCAATACGTGTGTTAACTGAAATTGTTCGTGATCTTGATGATCGTCAATTACCATATGTACTTCCATTACTTTTACCTGAAATGTATCGTTTAATGGTATCAAATGAATTTAATTTACGTATTCGTACACGTGCTATTGGTGTATTCACATTACTTGTTTCACTTGTACATGATATCAATGAACATGATAGAATATTATCTGTTGGTTACATTTTACCATATTTATCACATTATTGTGAAGCATTTAAACGTTTTCTTATTGCACCTGATTCATCATTAATGACAGATACAGGTTGTCGAATAGAAACAATACGTGCCTTAACATTATTATTTAAAAGTTTTCCAAAATTAATGCAACAAAATGCAGCTGATTTATTACAATCTGTATGGACATGCTTAACATCAAATACAGAAAATTATGTTGCTACTGTTGTATATAAACATGGAGAAATGGATGCATCAGTTGATTCAGATGGTAAAACTTTTAATGATAAATTTGACCTTTTTATTCTGATTTTATGTTTTTATTTGAAATAGGTGAAACATTAAGTTTTGAATGTTTAATTTATAGTTTATTCGAATTTGTTCAAGTATTAATGGATTTATCAATGTATAAAAATTCTGTTAAATCATCTATGGAAGAATTATGTTATTATTTAATATTATGTATGCAAATAACAGAAGAAGAAGTATAATTTTATGATTTGTTTTTTTTTCGGTGTTTGTTAAATTATTGTTTTTCTTTTTTTTCTTTTAAAATTTTAGTATGATTCATGGTCAAAAAATGTTTCACGTTATGTTGAAGATGAAAGTGATGATTCATTCTCACATTCTGTTCGATTATCTGCTTTAGAATTACTTTTGGTATGAGGCGATTTTGTTTTTATTCTTTAACTTGAAGATTGTTTTTTCTGATTTTATTTTTCTAGTCAATAACAAGTGAATTTAAAAAAGAAGCAGGAATTGGCCTATGGAAAGCTGTGCAGTAAGTTAAAATGAAAAGCATTTTAAATATATCGTTGTCTTGAATTAGTTGAACGATTAATTGTATGTGATGCAATGTTTACTGATGTGTACACAAGAATAGAAGAGAGATGAATGTAATCTCACTATCTCGACTAGGGCATTAGCTAGCAATCAAAATAGGAGAATTCCAGATGTCTTTTTCTCGGAAAATCTGTAAGAGAAAATTATTTTAAAACCTATCATTTTTGCAAAAGATGCAAAAACGGTATGTGAAAACGATGTTTCGTGTCAATGTGATTTTGATATTTACATGTGTTTCAGATAGAGAGATCACAAATCTACAGTTCAAGCACGATTTACATGATTATCTTTTCATCTCTTCATGCTAAAATAAAGTCGCTTAGCTGTTCCACCGCATTACACGGAATTCTTTTGATTTTTTTCTTGAGTTTTTTCCTAATAGGATGAATTTTAAGTTAATTTTGCTGTATGTAGAATCAGACAAGAAGAAGTTTAGAGTATTCTTTTGTCGATTGCTAAAAGCGGTAGGTTGATAGCTGTTGCCGTTACTGATTTAATTGAGATTATACCCATTTCTCTTAAATTCTGACACATATGAGTTGTTACTATTTCCTTGTTAGAAAAAAAACCATAGATAGCCTGTGAGTCAATTGTTTCATTTCCCAAATGTTAGA